ATCCCTTGGAGGAGGAGAGGCATTCTGGTTTTTGGCAATTTCTTTTTTTTTTTAATTGTGTTTTAGGTTTTGGGGTACATGTGAAGAACATGCAAGATTGTTGCATAGGTACACACATGGCAATGTGTTTTGCTGCCTTCCTCCCCATCACCTATATCTGGCATTTCTCTCCATGCTATCTCTCCCCAACTCCCCACCCCCTGCTGTTCCTTCCCTGTTTCCCCCTGACAGACCCCAGTGTGTAGTGCTCCCCTCCCAATGTGTTCTTATTGTTCAACTCCTGCCTATGAGTGAGAACATGTGGTGTTTGATTTTTCTGGTCTTGTGTCAGTTTGCTGAGAATGATGGTTTCCAGGTTCATCCATGTCCCCACAAAGGACGCAAACTCACCGTTTTTTATGGCTGCAGAGTATTCCATGGTGTGTATGTGTCATGTTCTCCCTGTGCAGTCTATCATTGATGGGCATTTGTATTGGTTCCAAGTCTTTGCTATTGTAAACAGTGCTGCAATGAACATTTGTGTGCATGTGTCTTTATAATAGAATGATTTATAGTCCTTTGGATATATACCCAGTAAGGATATTGCTGGGTCAAATGGAATTTCTGTTTCTAGGACCTTGAGGAATTGCCACACTGTCTTCCACAATGGTTGAACTAATTCACACTCCCAACAGTGTAAAAGTGTTCCTATTTCTCCACATCCTCTACAACATCTGTTGTCTCCAGATTTTTTAATGATTGCCATTCTAACTGGCATGAGATGGTATCTCAATGTGGTTTTGATTTGCATTTCTCTAATAACCAGAGATGATGAGCATTTTTTGATATGTTTGTGGGCTTCATATATGTCTTCTTTTGTAAAGTGTCTGTTCATATCTTTCGCTTTTCTTCCCATCTTTGTGGATTTATTTATCTGTGGTCTTTGCAGTTGGTGACTTTCAGATGGGGTCTCTAAGTGGACATCCTTTCTTTTGATGTTGAAGCTATTTCTTTCTGTTTCTTAGTTTTCCTTCTAACAGTCAGGCACTCTGCTGCAGGACTGCTGGAAGTCCACTCCAGACCCTGCTTGCCTAGGAATTACCTGTGGGGGCTGCAGAACAGCAAGGATTGCTGCCTGTTTCTTCCTCTTGAAGCTTCATCCCAAAAGGGTACCTGCCAGATGTCAGCCAGAGTTATCCTGTATGAGGTGTCTCTTTGGATATAAAGGGGTCAGGGAGCTGCTTGAGGAGGCAGTCTGTCCCTTACCAGAGCTCAAGTGCTGTGCTGGGAGCTCCATTGCTCCCTTTAGGGCTCCTGGGCAGGGATGTTTAAGTCTGTTGCAGCAAAACTCACCAACTGCCCCTTTTCCCAGGTGCTCTGTCCCAGGAAGGTGGGTTGTTTTTTTTTTTTATAAGTTCCTGACATGCTGCTGCCTTTTTTCAGAGATGCCCTGCCCAGTAGGGAGGGAGTCTAGTCACACTCTGCCTGCAGAGGTGCGGTTGAGCTGCCACGAGCTCCATTCAGCTGCTATGTAAACTTCCCTGCTCTTTTGTTTACACAGGTAAGATTAATCTTACCTGTGTAAGGTTTACACATTGCTAACTGCCTTGGCAATGGTGGACACCCTTCCCTTCACTGAGCTCAACCATCCAGGGTCGATCTCAACCTGCTGTGCTGGCTCGAAACTCTCAAGCTAGAGGGTTTCAGTTTGCTGGTCTTTGTGGGGGTGGGACCTGCTGAGCCAGATCACTTGGCTCCCTACCTTCAGCTCCCCTTATCTCAGGGTAGTGGGAGCCTCCATCTCATAGGCATTCCAGGCACCAACCAAAATGGCTACCTGGATTTGTGCTGAGAACTCACGGCTTAAAGAATAATTTTCTTATTATTTTGGCGATATACAATAAAAATTACTAAAATGATAGCATGAGATAATATCTTACAAGTAATCTTTGAAAAAGTTCAAAAGATTTTCTTTGTCTGTAAGTTGCAAGCAATATATAGTTTGAGACTAAGAGAAAGGTACACTCTTATTTTTCAGTATGTGTAAGCATTTCCAACTGTCCATGGACTCTTCACAATATTTGGGCCAGTAATCTCAAATGTAACTTGAGATCAGGATTGTATTAATTTCTGCTCTTCACACATTCTTTAGTTGAACAGTAAATACAAAGTTTGAATTGCAAGAGGTTAAGACTAATTTTTAAACACATTTATCAAAATGTATGCATACAATGGGGCTTTATTCTCTAAGTAATTCTTTGTATTGCTGTAATTCACATCTGTAAATTCTATATTAGACATTCCCTAAGAGCCAGTTTATGATGCCTGCTTAGGCTCCAGTGGTTCTTGTCGAGATTTTATCTACTACTTTGTGTATCAGACTTGGCTTTTAAAGATCTTTGACAAGTCCCTACCACCACAAAAATGAGATCTGTCCTCAAGGGTGAAGATCAGCCCCAGCATCCTTGCCTCTCCCCAGGTTTGCCATGTGTGCTGCGTGCTCTGGAACGCCCTTCCCAGTCTCTCCTCTGTAAAGCTCTCACTCATTCTTCGGCATCTAGAACCTCTTGGTGGGAACTGGTTGTGTTCTGTGCTGCTATAACAATTGCTTAATGCCTCAATGACAGCATGTATCTCTCCTAGTCCATTTTCATGTGTCTTTATTCTTCATATGGTTTACAGTTTCTTGATTCTGTGGTGCTTTGAGTCTTCAGTCTCTATGAAAATTCCTGCCATTTGATAACTTTTGACAATTACTTTTCAGCAAATTAAAAATATTATGAAGATAATAAAACAGGAGGAGAAGTACGCATGCGTTGAGTACTAGAAGTATCTTTGAATAAGTGTATAACATTTGTTTGCTACTTCAAAGGGACACAATATTTATTTATTTATTCATTTATTCATTTATTTTTGAGACAGAGTTTCACTCTTGTTACCCAGGCTGGAGTGCAATGGCGCGATCTTGGCTCACCGCAACCTCCGTCTCCTGGGTTCAGGCAATTCTCCTGCTTCAGCCTCCTGAGTAGCTGGGATTACAGGCATGTGCCACCATGCCCAGCTAATTTTTTGTATTTTTAGTAGAGACGGGGTTTCACCATATTGACCAGAATGGTCTTGATCTCTTGATCTCGTGATCCACCCTCCTCGGCCTCCCAAAGTGTTGGGATTACAGGCGTGAGCCACCGTGCCTGGCCCAAAGGGATGCAATATTTATGAGAATATATACGTTTTAAATTGTAGTTTAAAAAACAATTGCTTTGCCTGTAATCCCAGCACTTTCGGAGGCTGAGGCAGGTGGATCAACTGAGGTCAGGAGTTAGAGACCAGCCTGGCCAACGTGGTGAAACCCCTCTCTGCTAAAAACACAAGAAATTAGCCAGGCGTGATGGCAGGCACCTGTAATCCCTCTACTCGGAGGCTGAGTCAGGAGAATCGCTTCAACCCTGGAGGCAGAGGTTGTAGTGAGCTGAGACTGCGGCACTGCACTCCAGCTTCGGCAGCAGGAGCAAAACTTGTTCTCAAAGAACAGCAGCAACAATAACAAGAAGAAAACAACTGTTTTATGTTGAAACTTACTCTTCTCCGACGTCTGTTCTGGGCAAGGCAGGATCTTGAGTGTCAAAAAAATGACATCTAGTTCCTATTCTCAAGGAATTTATAATGTAAACAGTTAATAATTGTTTGCTTCAAAATATTATTATAGATGTTAAGTGCCGAATAACATAAATAATGAATGCTGTGATTTGATCAGAGGATGGAAAGCCTGCTAAGGGATAGGTAAGTCAGGGCAATGTTCTCAGAAAAAGGAGGTTACAATTTGACTCTGAAAGCCTGGAAAATGCATCAGATTTGCTATGTGTGCACACATGTATGGAACGTGTAAGAGACCATCAGTCAGTGGGTCTTTCTGCATTTTGAGAAAGTTGAACTGCTTTAAGCCACAATTCTGGCATGAATAAGGGGGAAGAGGCCAGGTCTTTTGTTGACACATGCATGTTCTATCAGTTATTTCAAAACCATCATAACCCATAGAGGTGACTAAAAGGGTATTCCTAATGTGTAGTGAGAGAAATGTGGAAAATATGACATCTTTCCTGGAGAAAACTTGAAGTTCAGAAGATATGCTGTGAACAGAAAGGAAGGCAGACACCTGAGACCTGCAGAGTGGAAGTGCTGTGCAGAACACTTTTATTTGAGATGGACACGTTGCTAAGAAAACGACACATTGGAGAAAAGTGAATGCTTTGGGCAGTAGAGTCTTTTACCTCCCGCTTTCCCGAAATACTGGTTTCAGAGGAGATTTCATGCTTTAGACACATACTTGGTTCAAAGGAAGTTTGGGCTTCAGAAAAGCTAAGGGGGTGTGGATGACATAGAAAGGGTACTGGCTAGAAGATAGCTCTTCATTCTGAAAGTGAGAGTGGTGAATGTCTCAAGACACAGAGAGGTGTTGGATGAGATACAGACGATGACTCGCCCTTTGCCAAGTGACTGTGAGTGAGCTGTGAAGATGTTCAGCGCAGGAGGCTGCAAGATTGTGCCACCCACTGCTACCATTTGTAGCCTTCAAATACACTTGGTACTACTTTGGTTTGCCAATCATTTTGGAAATTTTTCCAACGTGAGTATTTATAAAGAGGTCCTGTTATATAAGAAGCCAGAATGCCCCGAGTTCTCATCCACTTGTAACAGGTGATCTTGGTAGGTCACCTAATTTTTCTGCACCTCGGTTTCTTCATTTTGAAAATTAGAGGTTATGCTTACTCTCTAGGGTCATATTGTGATGATTAGAGAAATGTATGCAAAATGCCCACTGTTGTGGGTGGCACATAGAGACACCCAATAATAGGGAGTAATGATGATGAAGATGGCAATGATACTGTCAAGTGGGTAATGTAAGGCTTTCCATGGCAGTCTGTTTTTCTAAGGCTATGGCCTTTGAGTTAGAGAACTGTGCTCTCTCCACAAAGAATCTCAGGTCTTATGTGTTAGAGGTCCCTCAGCCTGGGGGGTCTCACCCTGTGCTTTCTCTTCTGGTGTGGCCATAGCCCCTGAATGGCAGCACCAGGGTTGGGCACTCAGGAGTTGCTCAGTGGTACTCTTTTGCCTCCTTCTACTCCGGAGTGCCAGTTCAGTGGTTATATGGCATCTGCCCTTATCCAAGAGCAAGTGCAGACATTTCTTCTCACTCATCCAGTTTCTCCATGGCCTCTCCCACACAAAGGAAGAAGTTAAGTAGTCATGTGCACATGCCCTCCCAGTGACTGCCTCCCACACACGGAGCTCAGAGCTGGCAGAGAGAACATTCTGCTCCACCTTTCAGTGAAGTGGAGTCATCCTCTTACATGTATTCGTGAAAATTTAGAAGCTCTGCAGGCTTTGCAAATTACTTCCCTTCACTTCAAAAACAATTTGAATTCCAGATAAGATAAAAGTTCCTATCTGAAATAAAACAGGCTCATTTTTTAAATAAAATAAAGCTCTACTGCCAGCAGAAGAACACATATTCCTTCCCTAGTTCATGCTCTTTGTAAATCTTGAAGGCATCTGGGAAGGCAGGGTATAAAAATATTTCTTAAAAATACTAAAATAAAAATAAATATTGAATAGACTATTAGGTGTAATATATGGATGCATCCGAGTTCTAATGAGATTTACTAATGTTTTCAGATTAATGAAATTATAATATTTTATATTTATCAGAAATTTATCCATCAAATATGTACCAGCAGAAGTTTGGGAATAGGTCTGAGCAACTGGGGAGTGTGGATATAATACCACAAGTTACTTTTGATTTTAAACTCACAAGAGTAGAGGTCTTTTTAAAAACACCTACTGTCTTGTGTTTGTTACTTTAAAATTACATTTATATCTTTAATAAGGAAACAGTCAGTGGTTTAATATTCAAGACAGACAAAAGTTACACAAGGAAAAGGTTTCTTTTAAAACCCTCTTCCCCAGGCTCTAAGCCCCCTTCACAGACATAACACATCTGGTCAGTTTCTTGTGTATCTTCGCAGACATGTTTTATGTGAATACAAGCAACTATGTGTGTGTTTCCTCGTGTGATTTTGCTAGAGATTGCCAAATAACTCTCCATAGAGATTGTACCAATTTACAATACCACCAGCAAAGTATAAAAGTCCTAATTTCTCTGCATTGCTGCCCAATTCACCCCTTGGCTGATCAGCATGCAATTCTGCCTTGGTCCTTCCCTCACTGCACACCATTCAACCCCCACAAAGCAAATTTTACTCAGTTCTCCTTCCAGAAGTCCTATATCTTTTCTGTCATTTTCACTCCGTCAGGATATTTTTACTGAGTAGAAACAAAGTGTTTTTTGAAATCAGAACTATTTAAAGATTCTAAACAGTACTGTTCGTTCATGAACTTGGGCTCTGCAAGCAGGTTGCCTGGATTTAAATCTTACTTACTAGTTGTGTGGGTTTAGGAGAGTTATTTAATGTCTTAGAACCTTAGTTTCCTCATGATAACTTGCCTTGCTGACATGATGGTCGTAACAAATGAGGTAATGTATATAAAATGTCTGGAGCTTGAAAGATGCATAAAAGATAGTAAAGATAGTTGCTATTGTTGTTGGTGCTATTAATATAAGATGTATCGTGTGCCATTTAGTGGAGTATGTACAATACATAAATATACTTGAAATAAATGTTAGTGGCAACAAATAAATCTCACATGTCTCACATTTTAAAGGAGAGTTTTGATCCTTGAATATAAAAAAAATCCTGGCCGGGCGCGGTGGCTCACGCCTGTAATCCCAGCACTTTGGGAGGCCGAGGTGGGTGGATCACAAGGTCAAGAGATTGAGACCATCCAGGTCAACATGGTGAAACCCCGTCTCTACTAAAAATACAAAAAATGAGCTGGGCATGGTGGCGCATGCCTGTAATCCCAGCTACTCAGAAGGCTGAGGCAGGAGAATTGCCTGAGCCCAGGAGGCGGAGGTTGGGGTGAGCAGAGATCACGCCATTGCACTCCAGCCTGGGTAACAAGAGCGAAACTTCGTCTCAAAAAAAAAAAAAATCCTATAACAAAGAATTAGGATAATTTAGAAGATAAAACCCATGTTGGAGTCACTTCGTTGACTGTGAAAAAGATCATGAGAAATACGTGTTGATCAAGCAAAACTAAGTTTATTAGACTTGTTGCAATAAGGGAAGACCCTAAGACAGTGACTTGCCAATGTCTCAGGAACAAGTCAGGGGAAGCCATTTCTAGGGATTTTGCAGCTGGGTACTTACTTCTAAGTGGATTTTACAATGTTGGGAACCAGTGGAACTGGACAGAATTTCTGACAAATGGCTTTGGACTGGTGGCCATAGGCAAGGGTAGGTGTCTTGAAGCAAGCATTGTGTGTTAGCTGTTAGTTTTCTAAGTTAAATCATTTTAATTGGTTGACACTCTTACCAACCTGGAGCGAGTATTTCCTGGAGCAAAGAGCTGTTGTTTTTTCCTAGTCCTATTGTTGTTTAAAAAATTAAAAATTGGAAGTTGTTTAGGAAATTAGGAAATGGAAAATTATGTTTTGTTTTGGAGTTGTTTCACACAGGAACAGGAAACTTTGTTTTGTCTCAGAATTGTTTAGCACGGGAAAATATGTTGGTTTCAGTTATCAGTTCCAATTTTGCTACAGAAAAGACAGACTATGTTGGGGCAGACACTCAATGTGCCGCATACCTGCTTCTTGCTTAGCGCCTGCAAAGCCCATTGGAAGTTCTTTCTTGGGAGGAAGTTGGGTGCTTAGGTCAGGGAGACCAAATGCAGAGTACTCGGGGCGCCAGAGGAAATGGGAAGAGTAGATGAGGCCACGTAACTTGAGTAGAGATACAGAAGTAGTGCCAAGCATAAAACTGGAAATTCACAAGAGGATAAAAGTGAAGAAATGAGGAGCGAATTGACAGCTGAAGTGTCAGAAAGAAGATGCAATCAGATGAGAGGAACAGACTGGGAAGAACAGTTTGGACCCAAAGACTGAATGAGGAGTGTGCGCTGGACCAGCCCTCTTCATGCTGCCGTTCTGGAGGTTGGTTTGGTTGTTGGGAGGGCTGTTCAGCCTGGATACAACCTCTTGAAGTCTTATCTCACTTATCTGAACAATGGGTACAAAGGACTTGACCTGCCTAACTAGTAGTGGTGGAAGAGATGATATAAGATCTTATATGGAACACATTTTATATATCATAATGCTCTCTTAAGATATGGATACTAACATTTAAATTTTACTACATCACATTAAAAAGGAGAGGTTTCAGAATTGGGGACTTTGTTTTGTATGCATCAGGCAACATTATACAGGCAGCGTCCTTTCCTAATTATATACAAGGCTGACCAAGATTGTCGGATGGAGTATAAGAATGGGAGAAAGAAAAAAATTAGGTAGTGCACTACTGCGAAAGCATGCAGTCAGGTAGCCACAATATTTCCTGGAAGGCACACACATAATTTGATTAAACATATTTCATTTCATTGTGCTTCAAACCGTTTATTGAAAATCTGTGCATGTTATGGACCGTTTTCATTCCCATCCATCATCTCATTAAATTCTCACAACTGCCTATGGGGTCGGCATGGTTGTCATTTTTCTGTAACAGTATCTGGATGTGTTTCCTGGGACAAGGATATTTCAATTGCTAAGATTCACTGCCTGAAACTGTACGTGATGTTTTATTCTGTCTTAAAACGTTTTTCTCATGTTATGTAGTCACAGGCTTAATGTCATGCCCTGCACTTGGTTCACAGAGCAGCAAATGGCAGAGCTGACCTGAGATCAACGGTGGAGCATTTGACAATCTACTTTAAAGTAATGATCTCGGACTCTAAAGGGAAATGGTCTCAGATAGAAACGATTTTGCTTGGTGGAGGCCAAGGACAAGATAATGTTTATTCAGTTACTCTTGGTCCTCCTGAGTCTAAAGATAGATGACCAAAAGGCAGAAAAGAGACATTCAGACAGGTCAGCATTCCCTAGATCCTGGCAAGAGAGTGTATGTGTGGTTAAAAAAAATTTTTTTTTCATATCTCTAGCAGTACTTAAATAAATACAAATCTGTTTAGTTAGAGTGCTCTAGTTAATTGCCCTAAGAAAATTCAATAAAAAGAAGATCTGTATTGACAGAGCTACATAGAGGAATTTGGGTATATTAATGGATTTTAAATGTGGCCCGTTTTAGGGATGGTTTAATACCATAGCCTTTTGTGGTCTAAAAATGAATAATGTTACATCCCTCGTACCCCACTCCAAAGCGTGTATGTGTGGAATTGAAAGAGGAAAAAGCTTTTATGAGTGTTCTTTTTCATTAATAGGGCATTAGCCACACTATGTTTTTGGTAAGCAGCACTTTGGAAATGCAAATGGATAAGAATTTTAACTTTTTCTGAGACAGAGTCTTGGTAATTTGATTACTATTAAGGGCTAGTACCTTGAACTTTGGTTGTTCTCTCTATGTTAATTATGAACCTATCTGTAAGTTACCACATTGATTTCTATGTGTGTTTTCTGTTTTACTTTCTAAAGTTCTAGAAAATGCCATTCCATTAGTGTTACTCAAAGCACATTCCATAACCCCGAATAAATGCTGCATGGAAAAAAAGTGGGTCTGTGATTAAATAACATTGAAACATTGGATTAAGCAAAGATGAACAGGTATCTTTATTGCACAATTTCTAAAAACATTATGTTTGTTTGCATTTTAAATCTCTAAGAGAAGGGAATTGTGAGCAGTCTTTTGTGTATATTTTGACTGAAATACCCTGCCCTTCACTTCCTTTGCAGCATTTCTTGAGGAATCATTGTTTGCGAGTCACTTTAGAAAACGTTGCTTTAGGTGAGAGGTGATGGCTTATTTCTGTTATCCCAGCACTTTGGGAGCTTGAGGCGGGAGTTTGAGACCAGACTGGCCAACATGGCAAAACCTTGTCTCTACTAAAAATAGCTATTTTTCTATTCAGCTACTTGGAGGCTGAGGCAAGGGAATCCCTTGAGCCTGGGAGGCAGAGTTTGCAGTGAGCTGAGATTATGCCAC